TTGGGATGAAAAACGCGACAAGGGGATACTGACGCCGGAATAAAATAGCAATAAAAACGATCCGCAGGGTAGAATAAAAATAAAGGGAAAGATCGACGGAAATAAAAATAATCCTTCATGATAGGCGTAACATACTCTGTTGCGACTGTTCCTAAAAGTTGGTACATCGACAGGCATAAAATATTTTGCTTCAATAATTTTAAGACATTGTAAACCGAAGTTCGAAAGAAGTACATGAAATGAAGCAGGTTGTTAAGGACACTTGTACTTATTAATTTGGTATGGACTGAATCGAAATACAGAAAAATATTACTTACGATTGAGTCAACTTGTCTTTCAGTTGTGTACTTACCTACGGTTAGGTACATAAAAATAGTAGTTCAATACCAAGGTCAGCGAAGCACGCAGTTTTTGTAGATTCCTGGACGGAACTCAATTTTTCCATTTATTTCCAAAGTTATTTGTACTATGTTCTTCACCACGTGTAAATTCTAAAACATTTTTTCCGAAAACCGTTATAAAAAATAAAGGTAATTAGTTATTCATCAAAGAACAAGTAGGGACTTAGGAAAAGACGTAGGTGTAGACATAGGAGTAGCACATAGATGCCTTTGTAAATTAAGTCCCTACTTAAGGCAAAACGATACCTAGAAGAAAATGCCTACCTTTTAGAAAGGTACGTACTAACAGATTTTGCAACTGATTTATTTAAGAAAATTACCTTCTTAGATTTGCCGATTCTGGGTTTAATTCGGACTACTTTCGGTAAAGCCATGGCAGCCGGGAGTTGTTGCGTTTAGGAGCAGTAAGCCGCTAAAGGACCCAATTTATATATTTTGAATTTGCATTGTATTAAATACTGTTGTGATGTACCATGAAAGGCACCACACACCGCGTCCGTATGCGTACGAATGCGTGACGTGCACGTGATCACGCGCGTAGCTATAACGTTGTATCGTATAGGATTGTATGACACACTGCACACCGCGCTCACGCATGCGCAGGCAGCTTGTGGCCTCTGATATAATCCCATACGATACAACGTCACCTCTACGCGCGTGATGACGTACGTAACGCATACGAGCCCAGTGTGTGGCGCCCTTGAAAGCGTATGAAATTCTCTACATATTTAGTCTTGTTTTTACCTACTCCCAATCACTTGAAAATTGCGCTTTCCCACCGCTTACACTATTTATAAAATCTCACGGATATTTCGTCTTCTTTATGGGGCTTATTTACGACACCAAATAAACTGAACTCTACGCTTGTTCGCACAATGTTACATAAGGATTTATGTAGATTTTATTACTATGTGACCGGTTTAGGTCATAGTCGGGCAATTAATACATGTATTTATAAATTTTCATTAGAAACACGAGGTCGGTCTTGTGACATATTCTGGAAGTGACCCGTGGCATCCTTGAGAAGGCTGTTTGGAACAGGTTTCATTGGCTGTCTTTTGAGTTTTAGAATACATTAGATTGATTGTGAACGAAGATTTAGATAAGGTAACTGACGCCAGCTGTAGGTTTTAGAAGATGTAAGCCGAACTTTTTTTGTGTCTTCGATAGATAGGTAGGTATTTCATATCTTTACAAAGGCATCGCCAGCCTAAACTAAAATGGGGTTATTAGAGAATACTTACATTTATGTTGTAACTGAATTAAATATAATGCTTGTGAATTTACCAATATTTAAGAAAAAGGGCAAATACGAGTACAAGTATATACCTATGCCCACATTAGTAACTTTACTTACAGCGGGTAGCTTTTTTGCCAAGAGTCGAAATAAAGTTTCTTTTGCATAAAGTGTTTACTTTCTTCATGAAAAACTTAATATATGATTGTATTATAAATGCATGATCTTACCTTATCACTTTTTTATGTTAAAGTTCTTTCTTTTGACACTGTTTTCTGTTAACGAACATTAAAGTTGTATTCGCTTATGGCATTTTAGAATTACAACCATATGCAAATTATTTACGATTTTTAATTAACTTAGCAACAAATTGGTTATTTTTGTGATAGATTAAATTTGATTGATATGTTTTTTGCATATTAAATAGTCACACAAACAATACAAATCTCATCAGAAACACAACACATCAGTATAAATATTGACATGTTTTGAATTCATAAAACACTTTAAGCTATTTTAAAACATTGGGTAGTACCGAATGTATTTTTTTTCTGAAAACGTTGTATTTAAACTGGTTCAATTGAACAACTTTGTCCTAGGAACATTGGTCAATATATCCCATAGAAAATGACTTAGACAGCTTAATTTCTTGAATGAAAAGTATTTTTTTTTAACGGCATGCAGGGTAAAGGCCACTTCTCTCTCCTTACGGTCCTGTGCCAATCTTATTCATTGATTAACTGATATATTTACCTTGTCTTTTTGCTTCTCTTTTCTTTTGGTCAGGTGTCCTACCCATCTCCATCTTAATCTTGTGATTCTTTTACCTACATCTTCGACTACGTCATTTGTAGCGTCCTGGCCAGTACTTTAGAAATATTTTTGGCCGAAGATAGAAATAACTAAATTGTTGATGTTGATTCCTTAGACCTGATTCGAACTCGGAAATAACAGGTTTGCGGAGTTTACGACCAAGCTGGAAAGTTCCAAGTAGGAATTATCTTCAGTACTGTTGCCTACAATAGATTTACAGACTAACATACGAACGTGCATTATTTATTACCTAATGTCACGGAGCTTAACTCGTGGCCTTATTTCGAGCTCTTCTCGAATATAAAGTTGGCCTCTAGTTTTATAAGTAAATCGGGGTTTACTGTCTTTAAAAAAACAAATCCACTACATAGGTCAACCTTAACTGTTACCCACTACATAGGTAACCTTAACTAGATTGGGAAGAGGTCGTCCAGGGCGCCCCTATGAGACATGGTCCCATTATACCCACGCTTTTAATGTTTATTGAAAATTTCGTGAAATGCGTTTTATATCTCGATATTGACAATGATGTCAATTTTATTTGAATAATGATGTCAAACATTTTAGCGCATGCTGTCAAATAAAATGTTTGACTGAATAAAACATAATACCTTCCCAACTGAACTGAGGTCCCATCCTCAATAGTACAAACTGTATAAATTATATTATATACCTACTCTGTTTTCTACATTACAAATTGTCGTTCAGTAGCGGTAATTTATCAATCTATTGGTGGGTAGAATTACAGGCTGTGTAGGCACTCTATCTCTGTTTTAACATCTAGACTAAAAATAGACCGACCTGATTCAAATGAAAAGCGTTTCTCTCGTATCAAGATCTCAGGAATCATGTTTATCAACATCCAACAGAGAAACAGATCATATTATATAACAAGTTCTGTTTCGGTTCGTTTGCTTTGGTAACTTGACTTGATCTTCAAATCCTTCCGGGAGTTGATATATTGTGAGAGATCGAGTTGATAAAAGTAAATTTGGAATAATCTGAAAGTGGGTCAAATATATGAAGAAACTTAAAGTGTTATCTTTTCTTTCTGCAACTAGTGCATAAAATTGTTCAATGAAATAAAATTGTAGCAGCAGCTTGGGCTTTAGACTTATTTTTATGAGTAATATTCTCTATGACTTTGTGAAGTCATAGAGAATATTACTCAGTTAATCACCCGGAAAAAAACTGCTTAGGGTAAAGACGAGGTAAATAAAAATAACTATTGGCAATTGATTTTACGTAGGTCCCAGACTAGAAAGGTACAAAAATACTTTTCCAGTAAATAGGTACGTACTACCAGTCAAATGAAACTAAAGTGCGGAATACGGCTCCCACATACGGATGGCGTGCTCGTATCAATTCTTGATGAGGCGACGTAAAAACCTCGGTATAGAGTTGGTTTGGTAGGAGTTCGGCACTTGCTCTACGCTTGGCCTTGGAAGACAGATACAGGTGGGCGAAAGCGGATAATAAGAATATATATCTACTCGATAAAAGAGTCAAAGCTATTAAATTATAACGACTTTATCAAATATTTACCATGCTTATATTAGACTTTGTTGAGATAGAATAAAACAGTTCTGTTTTTATTATTGGTCCTGATTTTCACGTAGATACTATAAGAATATTATTTTATCAAAAATACATCACTTTTGTTATACGGAGTACAAACAAATAAAACTAAGAAAATAATAACAACCTCACGAATTCCGGTTACGTCCACAAACAGTTTGATTTCCTTGAAATGTAGACGTTAATCAAGCTAATGCTCAAAATATTGATGAAATGGATTATAGTCATAATATTTTCATATTAAGATGTTTCCAAGAAACATATTTTGCGCATCAAGATCAGGATTATGTAAGGTGTAAAAATAACTACTAATATTTTAAGGGGTGAATCTGAAACTGAACAACTTTATCAAAGGAGAAGATAGGTCGAAATATAAAAAAAGGATCTCCAAGGTCCAGGTCCATTTGTATGGGAGGGCCGAAGTTTTTGTTTAGATTTCAATCTAAATGTTCTTTGGAGAAAGTTGTTCTGTTAATGGGCTGAATCACCCTTTATAATATTTGCAGTGAATATTTTTACATATAAGCAATATAGTCTACAAGTAAAAGCAAATTATAGTCTATAAAACCGTTTTGCGAAAGTCGCATAGGTACCTTATAAAATGCAAATCATACATTTATTTGGGCTTAGGAAGAACCCGATAGTATTTTTACATTTCTAATGGCTAGATCCTGCCCAACCAGTTTTAAAATGATTTTATGAATTACTACTCACTCAAAGATGTTAATCGATGTGTTTAATTGAATATTTTAGTACTACTATAATTGTTTATAACTGTTGTTTAAACTATCGGTTAGGTGTTGTTGTAGGTAGTTGAATTAATGGTTATTATAACAGCGCAACTTTTAAATTGATTTTCGTTAAATTGAAGTTAATTTTTTACAAATTTTGACTTCTTTTTCATGTAGAGTAAGTGGTTCTAACCGGACCGAGAACAAATTCACAAAGTGATAAAAATCAACTTTGTGAAGTGATCCACCGGGAATCGAATCCGGAACTCTCTGCATCACAGGCAGTTGCATTACCACTACGCCACATCTGCCGTCCAATGACTTTTGACTGAATGTAGTTTTATTGCAAAAGCAAGATGATTTAGCGATATGGTTATCCTAACTTAACTAATTTAAAAATAACTGCGAAACTAAAAAGTAAAATAAACACCTACCTATAAAAATATAAGTGAGCAAATGTCAAATAAAGATAATACTAATAACGACATAAAAACCCGAAGCTTTATAGTTGTAACAGAGTGATAAAAAGCGATTATAAAGCTGGTTTACGACACTTTTATCATAATTTAAAAAATATGCAAAACAACTCCATTTTTGTTATGGCCCTTTTAATTTTAAATTTGCATCAGCAATCAAATCTTACTTTTTAATTTGAATGATTAGATATATTAGTAACTTAAACTCACAGCGGTATTTTCTATTAAATGGAGCATTACATTAATAGTTCAAGAAATGTAGCTCTCTAGAGGGATATTAAAATGACGAAATCAAATACTAGGTACTAATGTATAGGCTATTCTCATCAAAATGAGAATCTAGATTGAAGGTTGGATTTAATTCGAGCTTTTAATTTAAAAACGCAGTGTTAAGTGTTTTGTGAAATTTTGTTAAAAGTAACAATAGGTTAGGTATGACTAAACATTACAAAAAGGAAATGTGGGAAATCTGAAAATAATTAAATTAATAAATAATAATTTCAAAAGGGACTCTTTCTGACCTTCAAAGTTCCATTTCTTATAAGTATTTCTTCTTTGTTTTCTTCGGGCATTGTATTTACAAAACCCAAGTTGCATGAAAAGGGTTTGTCTCTTGGTCGCAGCTTTACCAGAAAATATTCTTTGTTTGGTCGAAATTAAGGCGAGAAACATACGTAACGTCCGGTTGTGCGTAATTTTTGCGTTTGGAAAAAACAAGTTTTGACCTTCGTCATCATCATCATCATTGGCCTCATACGTCTGTGACAGATGATTTATTCAGTGTCTGAAGCAAGATTTTTTGGCCTAATTTCCGTATAAATACGGTTTATGTCAAACGGCTTGAATGATTCATCTTTCGACGCAGCGTTGTGAGAATCTGTACGATGCGCAGCGTTGGCGGATGAGATTGTCAAACTGTTCACATAAACCGTACTTGTATGAAAATAAGGTGGATAACGCATGCGATAGCGCTTCTTAAAAATGTCGCACAAATGGACTTTACTTGTGCTTCTCCTCATAATTTCGAGGTAAAGAATGGTCAATGTTTAATCTGTAGAAAACTTGGGAAATGAGCACATTTTTCTTTTGTCTAAACTTTGTTTTGTTGTTTTAATTTATTTTTGATTAATATTGTTTCTTTTGCTTTCCTACATAATGTAATTACTTTTAATCTTGATATTATCTAATCTAATTAAAATTCAGTATTTCATGTTTATGATTTAATATTGTACTGTATAATTTATTTGCCTTGTCTTAATTAAAAAAACTACATACACACACACCCACCAACCTAAACAAAAAATAATAAAATAAAATATCTTCATTTAATAACATCATTATAAAACTAACTAACATTGTTCCGTTTTATACGAAAATCAATTTTGAACCAAATACATTTTACTATCACTATCTGACCTCGGATCCATAAATTTAAAGCCATTGACGCCATTACGATTAGATATTTATACGAAATTGAATATTTCCAAAAAAAGAGCATTTTAAAAGACCTTAGGGTCATTTGATTGTTTTTATTCGGTCAATCAGAAAGAGCCCTGATTAGGGATAGAATAATGGGATAGATTGGTGTCGGTGAGATTTTTAGGGTTCCGTAATTCAAAGGAATTTTACTCAGTAAGCTTCCTCTTACTCACTTGATTGAATAGTATTATAATCTTTTATTTTTCTTTTATTATACATAACATTAAAAGTACATAGGTCAAAGTTCTCAAATTTTTTGCTGACTATAAGCCTAAGTAGGTACAATTTCCCACTGTTGGACGTTTAGTTCATTAATTAAAATGTTTCTAAAAATTGTATTATCTTTACATAATAATCTTGAACTACTAATTACGGAAACATCCAGTAGGTGTCGAACTTCAAACTTAAACCTTGACTTCTTAATTTAAAGCCCTTTTAATAGCCCCAATAAAAATATTATTGCTTTTGAAAATGAAATATTGCACCAACAGGGCCAACTCGGCAGTTAATTTAAAGTCAGTTATGGATAACAAATTAAATACAATTAACACATTTTATTCACTCAATCTTTATTTGATCTTTAAATGGAATATTTATGGCTGCAAGATTTTTGTTAAATATCTAGACACACGGCAGTGTGTCCGCCAAGTTCGAGCAAAAAAGCGACACACCGGCCGTGGGTTATATTACACGAACCATTTCGGGCCAAGTTCGACCCACCTATAACTCAAAATCTATTTTATCTACGCATATGAAATTTCTAGTATCTGTCGAGATCTACTTACTTATCTAAAATACAAAATTTCATTAATGTACCTATTGTAAGTCTTGAGATATTGACGTCAGAAAATCGCTATTTTTACTATACACTCACTGACTGACTGACTCACTCATCAAAAACCTAGACCACTTCCAATGGTCGTATTGACTTGAAATTTGGCATGGAGGTAGGTCTTTAGGTCAAGGTAAAGGAAAAAATCTGAAAATGGGCAAGTGTGAGTCGGTTTTAAAAATAATGAAGGTGTAAATTCATACCCCTAAGGAACTAAAACAAAAAATTTATCTATATCTTCCAATCGTCGTACCGACCTAAAATTCGTTACGAAGGTTTGTATTTAGTCAAAGTAACTTAATCATAAGAAAAAAGAAAATAAACCTTACAAAAATAAATGAAATCCCACCCAAAACATAAATGTGAAAGGCTGCCAAGTTCGATAATATTGGAATGCTTCGCCTATAAAAGAAGTGAGATCTAAATAAGTTCCATACACAGACCTCAGTTAAAAATAGTTACAGGAATGCACACTTGATTTTCCGCAGTTTGGAAAGTAGATTCTTATTTCCAAACTGCGAAAAATCAAGTGTGCATTCCTGTAACTATTTTTAACTGAGGTCTGTGTATGGAACTTGGTACTTATTTAGATCTCACTTCTTTTATAGGCGAAGCATTCCAATATTATCGAACTTGGCAGCCTTTCACATTTATGTTTTGGGTGGGTAGCAATACTGTTTGGAGCTATGTTTGAAATAATAAATATTAAACATTTTAAACAATCAATAATATAATGTAACATCAAAAGTTGTGTGACAAATTACTATCCTTACTACGGAAAAATTATGTACAGAACCTTTCGCTACATCGATGATTGATTTTCATTTAATAAAAGCTTTTAATACAAAAACTATTACGATATGGTCCAACACAACACTATCAAAATAATAACTTTACGATAGGCCGTTACACTAAATTTCAAAGATATTTTGTGATATGATAACTTTTAAATTAAGTTACATTCTAACTTTTACTAGTTTAAATATTAAGTAAGTTTCTTTTTATAGCACAAAATGTATAAAGGTTAATGTATTTACTTTTTACCTCAACATAAGGATATTAAGGGGTCTCATATTTCGGTATCTTTGTTACCGTAAAGATATTTTTGTACGTCAATCTGGATGTATCTGTTCTGTACCGTAGATAGCTCTGTAGCAAAATGCAAGCTATAAAGTGCGCATATAAGAATGTACTAAAAATAGAGCTGCATAATACGTAACTAGGCTTAATTATGAGAGGGTAAACCTTGGACTTATTAAAAGAGTTCTACCATTTACTTAGATTTAAATCGACCGAGAATCTTCACATTCTCGTGAAATACAAAGATGTCTTCGCACCACCGACTCGACCAATTCCCATTCAAAGATCGAAGGTTAAACGAACCGTTTAGTTATACCGCTTCCCTCTACCCTACTCACTGAGACCAAGAGATAGTACCCGTTTTCCCGTGGAAATGAAACTTATTCCTGACATTTATTTATACATACAAACATCACGCTATATATTTAAAAATCGTAATAAAATCTGTAGAGATGATTGCGTCAGAAAGCCTACGATTTGATAAGCAACAAAACTTAGTCTAGTAACTAAGCCGTAGTATGATTTTGGTGCCTGGCAGTTTTTGATTGGAGGTAAAATTCAAATATTGTGGCAACATTAGGTACACAAAAAAACAATGTTAGTATGCACTTTCTGTACTAAATTAATAAATAAATTGAATGCAATCGCATAAGCAGTGCCGTTCCAAAGTAGTAAAACCTCCCAAAGGTGCGATACACTTTTAACATAAAGCTGCTTGTAAGTATTATTACAATGATTTTTAAATTCATTATAAATATTAGGTAAATATCTTCTCCTCTATCAAATGGCATGCCACTTGTATGTAGTTGATATTGTATGTAGTAATATTAATATAATCGTGTTTATTTCTTTCTTTTTTATGTACTTGGATGTTTTTTTGCCATTATAATTTTATTTCAATGTTAAAAAAAATACACAAGTTTGTTTATTCTTTCGGCCGTCCCACAAAAAAGGTGTGGGCTGAAAACCAGCGCTGGGACAACCCCGTCCTAGCACATGCTGAGCCCATTACCTATTGTGACACAAATGATGTGTCTTTATACTATGGTATTAGTTTTAAAGTATTTCTCTGTAACTATTTTGTCACAATAAATGCTTTTTACTTTTACTTTTACTTTATATTCTTTAATTTGTAGTCAGCTCTCTGGCTATATGGAAAAGTTCGTGGAGTTGTACTACTTTACAATTATCATGCCTACCCTTAAACTTTGTAATTTCTGCTCCTTTGCCTTGATTAAAAATTGATTTTGTATCCTTTAACATGATAAAGGTTTGGATTTCAAATTTAATAAAATCGACTGGATTGAAGTTGGGCGAAGAAAACTTTTAGGGTAAAATGTTTGTAAAATATCAAAGACTTTAAATATTGATATTGATTGCAAACAAATAATACCTATAATTATGACAGTTGACCTGTTGCGTTTTTTGTTATTTATGTAAA